GAGGTAGTGCTAAGTCTTAGGGATTCTGCAATGAAAAAGGCAGATGTAGTTTTACCCTCCTGGAAATTGCCATTCAGTGGGTTACTTGTATCCAAGTTAAACAGCTACATAATTTAAAAGGATGATTTCAGATTATGGTAAGTATAACATAATGGAGAGATGAGAGAAGACTTCTCAGAGGAGGTGACATTTATTCAGAGACATGAAGGATGACAGGAAACCAACTCTGCATAGAGGAGGGTGTTCTAGGCAAAGGGGACCACTGGGCAAAGGCCTCAGGAGGGGAAAGGCCTTGATCAGTCTAGGACCTCCAGCTAAGGTGTGGGTTATGAGATGGGATAAACTGTATCCCCCCACCCTCATCTCCCTCATTCTGCCCTCTACAGCTCCTACAGAGGAGGAGGTGGCTTCTCAGCCCTGCTCTGCCTTCAAGGTTGTGTGGCCCTGGGAAGACAGCTTCCACAGAAACAGTGAGAAGAGCTGGCTCAAAGCCCCTACACACCCCCCAGACCTTAGCCACAGGGAAACCGGTGAGAAGAAGGGCGTGAGATGCTTCTCCCTGGATAGAGTTATGCTTTAGACCTGCCTTCTCAGCGATAGGGCTGGAGGCATCTAGGTTATCCGCATTCTAGTGTGGTCCGTCTTTTGGCCAATGGCACATTCCTGTTTGCTCTGACTGGGGGCACTGAAAGGGGAGGAGACAGAAAAAAGACCCCTCCCAAGGAGCCAAATTTCATTTGGGGGTTCGAGTACCTAACTTGTGACCAACAACCCTCATGGGTCAACCAGCCTGGAGCCTAAAGGGAAAGACTTTTAAGGAAGGTTGGGGGAAAGAAAGATTCAGAACCACTCCTGCAGCCTGGCCCGGGTATCTACAGGACTTAAAGAAGCATTAGGGATGAGGCTGGGACTCACACCTGGCCCCCTGGGTGACTGGTGCCAGAAGTCCAGGGAAAGAGGAGAGGCTCTCAGAGGGTGTGCAGTTTTGAGCTGCCCTCTACACTCTGACCTTCCTTGCTAATAAGAGGAGTAGGGGGCAGAGTCCGAGAGCAGGATGGAACTTGGCCACAGCAGCTGAGGCTCTAAGTGAAGGCCAGTGGGAACCATCATGTCTCAGAAACTCGAGCCATGGCTGAGCAGGCTGCCGCTCTCAGAGGAAAGCAAGCCCCTTTTTCCATTGCCACTTCCTCCTCCCCAGCCCTGGACTACGTCAGCACCCACATGTGCTGCTCAATTCGTGGTTTGCCACGGTGGTGGCCCAGCCTGGGGCTCAGGAAGTGACTCTCCCTTCGGTTCTATATGGGGTGCCTGTCACTCTTTCCGATAGCTGATGGGCTCTGCCGGAAATATGGAGGGCCTGGCCTTCAGTAGGTCTGGAGGCAGCTCTGCTCCCACCCTGTGAAGGGTTGTGAAGGGCGAGGAGAAACCTGAAGAGGCCAGGTCTGGCAGCGGTGTGGGGGAAGGAGGCCGAAGGTGAACTGATGGAAGAGAATGCTTGGAGACATGAAGAAGGACCAGGGGAGATGAAAAATTACCCCGGAGTGTTCGGGTGTGAAGCCATCTCATGCGCTCCTATTATAGATGGGGAAATTGGGTGCCAGAGGAGAACCCTGAGTCCTAGGACAGGTGGAGAAGCGCAAGTCTGAGAAGGGCTAATGCGGAGTGATGCTGAGGCCTAAGGCGGAGGGGGCCCCTGGCTCTGAAGAGGGGAACTGGCATGCTCCCATGGGATCCAGGAGCTGCAGGAAGAGACAGTGGAGGATTTGGCCAAGGTTGGGGTATCTGCCCAAGAGAGTTGGGGTTTGGGTTGCTGTCCTTAGAGTCTGCCTAAGGAGTCACGTGTCACACATTGTTAGGTTGGGCCTGAAGGGGAGAACCCCGAGGTATAATAATTTGGGGAGGTGGCACAGAGAATCTGTTAAGGGCAGAAAGTGGGTGAACACTCAGGTGGAGCTCTCCGGGTCCTTTCCATCCCAGAGTTAATGAGCAGATGCTAGAAAAGGCTTCTGTCCTTGGACATCAGTCCCTTTACCCTGTGCTGTGTGGCCCCTGTCCCAGGCCTAGGGCTGTCAGGACCCTGGGCTTAGAGGACAATCTGGCCTATGGTGACTTCTTTGCTTCCCCCCACCCCCAGCTGAGTGTGCAGCAAAGCTGGCTGCAGAAATCTCTGGAAGCTCGTTGGGCAGGCAGAGGGAGGGGAGCGTTACATAAGAGCCCACTGATGTGCAGGAAGTCTAGAGCAGCCTTTAGATGAGAGAGGCAGCGTTCCCATCCAGCCTAGAAAAGCAGGAATAGCAACGGTGGTTATTTCTGGCCCCTCACCACCGCCCAGCCCAGCTCCGGGGCTGCTCAGCTTCATGGTGGGTGAGCTTGGACTCTGCCGACCTGGTGGGAGGGGGAGGGAAGGTGGGGATGGGCAGCCTGCGGGGTTACCCCACTGTGGCACTGGCTTCACTCCCCCTACCCCAAAACACCAGGACACAGCAGTCAGTGGTGGATGCTTGTTTCTCCTGATTTTCCTTAATCTCTAAATGAATTCTCTACCCCTACCCCACCCCCAAGACATATTGACTATGTGACAGGCTCTGTGCTGAACAACTGGACAGGCATTGGTCTTCACAATGCCTTGTGAAATAGGTACGATTCTCACCCCCATTTCATCAATGAGGAAAGGGGCTCAGAGAGGGCGGGTGACTTGATTAAGGTGAGAGAGCTGGGCAGTCAGGGAGCCAGGAGTTCAATCCACATAGTCTGGCTTCTGAACCTCTGGCTGAAACCTACCTTATGCCAAGAACCATAGGTTCTCTGGGGGCCCAGAACGAACTGGACAGAGCTTTTACCCTCTAAGGGTGAGGTTGAGCAGGGCAGAGAGACCTGTGAACAAGTCATTTCAGCAGTTACTTATCAAACATCTGCTCCTCTAGGCATTAAAGATACAAACAGAAGTAAAAAGGTGACTCCCTCTTTTGTAGTTCACATCTGTTGGGGGAGACAGACAAACAAGCAATCACAACAGTGTGAAATGTGCTATCGTGGGGAACACAGCGATTGTGGGAGCCCCTTATCTGTCCCATCCACTGAAGTCTTCTGAGCAGTCAGAGAGCCAACAGGCAATTCTTTAGGAGGCTGGGTGTGGAGTGCCGGTGTGAGACTAGCCAAGGAGCCGTGCAGTCGTCCAGGAGAGAGGGTGAGGTCTGCAGGCCTCAGCATCGGCTATCACACACTCCCTTCAGGGGCATCCCAGCCAGAGGCAGAGAGCAAGAATACTGGACACCCAAATTTACTGACAGGCAGCTCAGCCTAAAGGCGCTTCACTTCCCCTCGGTACAGGGGCAATAGGGTAGTTGGAGACCCGGGAGGGAAGGGTCTTCTCTTTTTCCTTATCTAACCAGCCCCTTATCTACTTCACCCTTACCGGAACTCTGTTTTGGGCGAAGTTAAAATGAGTGACTGAAGAGGAACCTGGAATACAGAACCAAGAAGAAGAGCTTCCCTCCAGATAATCATACTGATAAGAGGAGATAAGAGGTAGGAAGTGTTAGCTCCTGTGAGGAATGGGGGCCCCTGGGTGGCTCGTCAATCGCACATCTGAGTCTTTGCTTCCACTCAGGTAATGATCTCAGGGTTGTGAGACTGAGCCCCACATTGAGCCATTCAGCGGGGAGTCTGCTTGAAGATCCTCTCTCTGCTCCACCCACCCCCACTCCCCAGTGCGCTCTCTCAAATAAAAAATAAATCTTTATCCTCAGAAATGTCCCCAGAGGAGTGTTCTTTGCGCTCCATGCAGAAGTAGCACTTCTGTTCCGATCAGCAAAGGGAGGGATCTTTGGAAATTCTAGGACTCGATTTCCCTTGGTCAAGTCTCAGAGAGGGCCATCCTGGCAGGATGACCTAGTCTTCAAGCTGACATTGGACTCAGTGTCTTTTTTTCCTTTTTCTTTTTTTAAAAAAAGATTTTTATTTATTTATTTGACAGAGAGCGGGAACATGAGCAGGGGGAGCGGCAGGCAGAGGGAAAAGCAGGCTCCTACAGAGAGCCCGATGCGGGGTTTGAGCCCAGGACTCTGGGATCATGACCTGAGCCAAAGAGAGACGCTTAACCAAATGAGCCACCCAGGCGCCCCCAGACTCTGTTTTTATTCATCGTCCATCAGCTATTGCAAGAGGGATTAAAGTTAGATTTAAGAAGGACTTCCTGATTTCATACTACCAGTGACCAAAGCAGCAGCATCTCCCTCTTTTCATAGTTTTAATAACCACAATTTTCTCCAGCTCCCCTCATCCCATCCCTGGACTGGGGTAATGCCCCGAATGGCTGCACTTGTATGGGAAAAAGGCTTAACAGGGGTCACTCTGGGGTGCCAGGATAAACCACAGGATGGTTTATTTTTAGGAGCCGGGTGGTGAGGGTTTCATTGTCTTCCCTTGGGCTCTGGGTATGTTTGCCCCCACTCCCCCACCCCCAACCCAGCTTTTCTCCTTTCTTTGGCAAATCCAGGCTGTCTCCCTTTTTCTCTCCCAGGCTAAATTGGGAGTGTGAAGCTGTTCTTCTTCCCAATTTAGCTTTTGAATTAAAGTGAGAACTGAATGTGGCTGGAAAGCTGACTCCCATCTGTGTGTGTGAGAGAGAGAAAGGAGAGCAAGTGAGCATGAGCACAAGCAGGGGGAGTCAGAGCAAGGGAGGTTGATCTGGGCTGCTGCTGTTTAGTTTGGACACCTATCCTCAGGTGCAGGCAGACAGCTCAGCAGAGAGACACCGAGGTTTGAAGGTTGCTGTTTTCTCAGGAGTGGAAGAATGCTAGAGGGAAGCATTCGAACATTCCACAAAAATGTGCCAAGGGCTTATTGTGTGCTAGATGCTGGGGAAACCGTGAGCCAGGTAGACACATAATCTATACTCTGGCTTTCAGTCTGGTGGGGAAATAGGCAATGACCACCAGGGGGAAGTGTTGGGAAGAGGAGCAGGATGCCACAGGAACCCCTTGGGATGAAGGGGGACATCACATCCAAGCTGAGACTTGACGTGCAGGCAGGAGCTGACCAAGTGGAGCAGAACTAGAGTGCCTGGGCAGAAGGCACTGTGCACTCAGAGATCTGAGTGTGCCTGGCTTCTGCCACAGAGGGCGCTGGCACCGGGTGAGTTGGGCTCAAGAAGGCTCCAGAGTTTCCACCTGCTCCTCTTCTCCCCTTCTTCCAGGGACAACAAAACCAGATGACAGTGGTGTGGGCCAGAGAAGCCTGGGAGCCTGTGAGTCCTTGCTGCTCATGCTCTAAACAGTCAACCTAGGGGACAGGAAACGTGCAAGTCTCCTTCTGAGTCATCACTCAGGTCCAAGGTGGACGTGGAACATAGGAAATGGGATCTCTTTGTCTTGAGACAAAAGTATCAAGAAGGGTTTCTGCTTGGTTTAGCTTACCTGATTCTTGCCAGGTTGGAGATTGCTGGCTGAGTCTCTGGGGGACCTTCCCTCTTCTTACTTGATGGGAGTGAGTCACGATTCTGGCTGAGAGGGGAACAGGTTGAAATCTTGGCAAAGATAGACCCTCTGTTGGCAGAGAGAGGAGAGAGCTCTCTGGGGGGCCATGAAGTTCTCTGTCAGCTCTCGAGTTCCCCAATGACAGGCACAGCTGAGGGATGCTTGTGTAAAACTCACCATCAATATTTCAAGCAGCATTATTTATTGATCACTCATCTGGCTGGGACAAAAGGAGAGGGTAATTCATGGTAATTCATTAGGGATGCAGGGCTGGTGGGGTCATTTTGGGGAAGAGGTCAGAGAAAGGTAGGTCACCAAGGAGCCACAGCCTTGGCTCTTGCAAAAGTACCTTGGGATCCCAGCGTTTGGAAATTAGGGTCTTTTCTCTCCTTTTTTAATCCTGCATGCCCCAGATGAAAATAAGGGAAGCGGCAGGGAATAGGAAAACCTGGGGCAGGCCTGGAACTGCCACTGTGGCCAGCAGGGAAATCATATCCAGAGAATCCTGTGGCCAAGTGTGCTTCCTTCCCTCTGGACCTAACCTGCCCTCCCAAGTTCCCTACCCTTTGCCAACAGCTTGGGTCCCTCTCCTCACCTGACCTTGAAATTAGCTCCAACAGTCCCTCTAGATGTCATTTCAGAAACCCATGTTGTGTCCCTTAGGCTGCAGGGCCCTCCCAGGGTCAGCTTGGCAACTCCCCTGATCCCAGGAGGGTGCCTGATCCTCACCCAAGGGGAGTACCTGCCCTTTGGGTCTGACCATCCCCTGGTGAGAATACTGGGTGTGGGCACACAGGCTGGGCTTGGGAAGTGATGACTTGAGAATCCATAGCTGTTTTATGCACCTGTAAGGATGTTTTCTTCATGAATCTCCAACTCCACGGAGTGGGGCATGAGGCACCCTGCTCGCCAGACCTTAGGCAGACTGATTGCCTGAAGAGTCTCCCCTGCAGGGGTGGGGAATCCCACACTGAGAGTGAGCTGCGCCACCTAGTGGGCTTCTCCATCCTTGCAGGTATCCCTCTGATCCCTCCCGGCCTCCAGCCTAGATATGGGACAAGTTCTCAGGCAGAACCCAAATGGCTTTAATACTTGAGGTACCCTCCTCCACCAGGAAGGCCTGACTCAGTGCAGAGAGGGAAAAACTAGATAAACTGGGAAGGGAAATGACCACGAACTGGCTGAAATTTAAGGCTGTGAGGAAGCCAGCTGTGGCTTTAGCCTGCTTCTCCCTATTACTGTCTCTCCCTACTATCATGGATTGCACTGATATGGGGACCATGATCCAGAGCCCTCAGAAACCCTCCCTCCTCTGCTAACCCTCTTTCCTCCAGGCTGAGCAAGGATCGGCTCAGCTCTGCTGATCAAGGAAGAGCTGGCACAGGCTGGAGCTGCTGCTGGCTTTCCTCTGACGTCACAGCCTGGAAATCCCATTTTAAGCAGGTTCTCAGGGTGTGGGACACACACAAGAAAGGAAGGGAGAGCCAGCTAAAGCAGCTCCAGCCCTGAGGACATTCTATCCAGGGACCTCAGGCCTGGAGCGCTGCCCAGTGTCCCCAAGATGGTTTGAGCATGGGACACAGGGCTAAACAGACCTCAGCTCCCACTCAAAACCTAATATCCCTCAATGCCCCCTGGTGACCCAGGCAGTGATCAAGAATCCTCCACAGAGCTCTAGCCTCTGTTCTGACATCTCTTCCCCACTGCTCGGGCCTAGAAGTCTACTGAGGCAGACGGGAGAGGGCAGGTGGTCCCAAGGAATGAGATAGCAAGATGTCACCCTGACCCAAATGTGTCCCACCAGCCCCTCCCAGGAGCCTTTCCCTCCATCTCATTGTCACCCTCCACCTCTTCTCTCCTCCCCTGCACCACAGGGGCCAGGCCCAGTGCCAGAGTTCTAGGAGACTGACTGAATGTTCCCATGGCAACAGACTAAGGAGCTTGGAAATCTGAGCATGTTCCTCTTGACACAGAGAAACCCAGATGTGCACAGAGATCCTGGCATGGAGAAACTGGCAGTGACCTCTTTAGCCACCAGTCACTACAGGGGTGTGTGTGTGTGTGTGCACGCGCGTGTGCATGTTATGTAGCAAATGGGATTTAGGTTAGAGAGGGCCTAACCTGGTTTCTTGACCATATGGTAGCTGCTAGCTTGAGACTGCATCTTACTCTCTGGAGATCTTTCTAGAACAAGCAAGTCTCTCCCCTGAATTCTACCCTGACACATCATCTCCTTTCAGAGAGAGAAAGGGGCCAATTTGCCCAGAGGCCTGTGGTGAAAGGAATAACTTTCCAAGGTCTGTTGACCGGAGGACTCTAGGGAAGATGAAAAGGACTGTTCTCGCCTCACCTCCACCGCGACATCAGTTTGGGAGGTTCTTGGCCAGTTGAGCGCAAATGTGGCAAGAGGACATACCTCTGTGATGCTGGGGAAGGGACAGGAAAGTCAGTAGACTTACTGCAGACCTGGGGCCAAGCCGCCACACACGCTGTGACCCACCCTGTGCGCTGCCTCCGTTTTCCTTCCACAAGGCTGTGCGTGAGGCTGTTTCTCCGCTCCCTTCTCCCTTCCTCCTCCTTGCCTTGCTCTCTCTACCCCCTCCCTCTTCACTCTTTTGTTTTTCTCCTTCCATGCTGCCTCTGCTCCTGTGCCATCCTTTCCCTTCCCCTGGGCACTGCCTTGCAGGTCTCACTCCCAGCTGGCTGTGCCCCTTGGCCCCTGGTGGCCTTGGCTCTAGCTCCCAAGGACTCAGACCCCATATGCTCACCCTCCCTCCCTTTCTCCTCCAGCCCAGCCCAGTAGCCCAGGGCTCAAGGCTTCCCTCCAGGTGCCACAGGGATGGTCTCTCTGGCCCCAGCCTTTGGTCCCCTGTCCTCCTTCTGTCCCCAGGGTCAGACATACACCATGAGGCTGGTTCCCCATTACCCCGTCTTCCCTCAGCCTACCTGTCTCTTCCTTTCAGAGTCTCTGGCTCACAGCTCCCCTCTCCAACATTCTTTAGCCTTTCTGGGCCCTGAGGCCATCTAATCCCCCCGCCCTGCCCAGTAGCCCCCAAATCCTATCCCTCCTTCCCTGGGAGCCTTATGAAGGTCTTTGTCCTTAGAGCTTACACTGGCACTTTCTATGAGGTACCAGAAGGTCCACTGGGGCAGGAGGTCTCTGGGCAGGATTCTGAGGGACAAGACAACCTTGAGGGTTGGGGCCCCCAGCCCTCAAGTCCTGATCCCTCCTACTGTCCTTGCTGTATTTTTTTTTTTAAGATTTATTTATTTATTTGAGAGAGAGAGAGAACGGCCCCAAGCAGGGGGGAAGAGCAGAGGAGAGAGAGAGAAAAAAATCCTGAAGCAGACTCCCCGCTGAGCACGGCTTGATCCCAGGATCCTGAGATTAGGGCCTGAGCCGAGGAAATCAGGAGTCAGCCTCAGCCGCTTAACCGACTGAACCACCAAGGCACCCCTCCCCTGGCTGTACCTTGAGCCTCCAAACCATCTCCCCAGATGGCACCAGCTGAAGTCCATCTCGTATCTTGGAGAATGGAACTCCTGGGGTCCACAATCCGACCTCTTCCCCCGCCCCCCCAAAGCTGGGCTCTGCTTTTCACTTGAGGTCCTTCTCACCTGTGGACTGGATGGGTGAGAACAAAGCACAGAGGCTGAAACGCATGAGGTGCCAGAATTTGGTTTATTGGCTCATCCAGGGCCAAAGGTCCAATGGGCACCCTCTTTCCACAGAATTGGAAGCCTTGTGGCTCCTAAATTTTTTTTCTTCACACACTTCTCCTGGCCCTGACTGAAGCCACGGCAGAAGCAGGGGTAAAGTGTGGGGGCAAAGGCTGGGCTCCTAAGAGTCTGCTCACGTGGGGCCCAGTTTGCTTGGCACAGGAAGAGGGCTCTGGGGGAAAGGAAGATGAGCCCCCAGGTGAAGAGGAAAGGAGCTGGCTCAGCATCGGCCTCTACAGTGGGCGCTGAGGCAGAGGAGCCCAGCACAGGGGCAGGGCAGGAAAGGGAGGAGGCGAAAGGCTATCAAGGGCAGAGGAGGAGGTAAGAGGCCCTCAGAATCCCATCCTCTCAGGGCAGTCTGAGAGTAGGAAAGAAGGCCGACAGCAGGGAGGGGCTTGCGGTGGGGGGTGGCAGCTGCTGGCAGGAAAGTCCTTTACCCAAACCCCCCCAGCCCTAGACCCAGAAATACACACACACCCACACTCACAGGCACACCCCCAGAACCCCACTTCTTTTTAGTGGAGACACATAGCACACAGCCCTACCCAATACCCCCAACTGCAGCTCTGGCCTGGCCATCCTGGTCCTTCAAACACACATTAAGGCCTGAGCTCTTGCCCAGGTTCTCTGAAGCCTTCTCCACTCCTTCCTGGTCTCCCAGGTGCCTTCGGGGCCATCTCTGGTCATTCTGGGCTGTTGAGTACCCCCCCACCCCCACCCCAGAGAGAGCAGTGGGGGCATGTAAGGACCTCAGAAAAGCGAATGGCCATGGTCTTCAGCAAGGCACTGGGTGGGTGGGGACAGGACTGGAGCAGGGAGAATAGCAATTTGGCTCTATGGAGCCCCCACCTCCTTGGGTGGCTCAGTCCTCAGCAACTCCTCCAGCCACTACCCTCCACCCCCACAGCAGGGCCTCCCTCCTCTTTTCCAAGCCCCTCCAGAGGAGTGGTCACTGGGCAGGCAGCCATCGGAGGGGACCCGGGGCCTGAGACACATGGGCTACTGGCACAGTGTGGAGCAGGGGCTCTGCAGCCTGTGGGGCGTCAGGACCTCAAGCCAAGTCACCCCCGCCAGAGGTCTTCTTCTTGGGCCGGGTCTTCAGTGTCTTGGAAGCCAGTGGCTGTAGGAGGGAGAGAGGATGTCAGAGAGCTCAGCCTAGGCTCACAGCCCCTCCCCATGTCCGCAAGCTCTCACCTCAGCTTTGGGCACTTTTTTGACGGGTTTCACCCGCTTAGGGGCCTTGTCTCCCATATCATCTTCAGAGGTCTCTGTTCGGGGATCTGCCTGGTTTGTGCTAGATCTTAAACTCAGTGCAGGGTCATCTCCTGCTTTGGGGGAGCAAAGGAGAGCAGAGCTCTGGCAGCTCTCCCGCCTGGCCTCCATGCCCTCTGGCCCTCCCAGCCTGGAGCCCTGCCTGTACCTAAGTCCTCGATGGTGTCCAGGAGGCTGCCGGGGCTGGATCGGAGCCGGCTGTCAGGCCCCTGCAGGGGCAGCGCATCATCATCCCGAATCAGGGTCAGGTCCTGCATGCTGAAGCTCCGGAGCTTCTCTGATAGCACCCCCTGGCCCTAGGGTCACCACCACGCACCGGGAGAACCGGAGGAAGGGGCGGGGTGGACAGAGAGGTCACCATGGAGCACGAGCAGCCCCCGAGCTCAGTGTTTTCCCCACACTGTCCTCACCCTGTCCTACAACAGCACGGACAGGGTGGCGTTGCCACACTAACCCTTTGGACAGATGAGGAATCTGGCCCGGGGAGTGGAAATCACAGAGTCCGGGGCTGGCAGAGCCCCAAGGACAGGGTAAACAAAAAGGGGCTTGGCCAGAGGCATGAAACAGGCAAGGTGGAGTCCTGGGAGCCTGGGTCTGCCCCCATCTCACCTTGGCAGCGGCTGTGACCGCGGCATTGGCAGCCAGGTTCAGGCCCCTCTTGCCCACCCTCATCATGGTCTCATAGCTCTTGTCTCGGGCCTGGGTGATGTACTCGTCGATCTCCTGAGGGGTTGGAGGGGAAGGAGTGGGAGGTGAGGGGTGGGCCCCACTGGCCAGGCCCTGCCCTGCCCTTGTTCACACCCGGACAAAGGCACACAGCCTGCTCCAGGATGCCAGGGTCCTGGCAGATCACTTCAGGTTCTGGGCACCCACAGGGAGAGCCACAAATGTACACAGCTACAGGTACTAGGGCTGCCTCGGCCTGGGGCAGGCGAGGAAGTCAGCTGAGAGTGGGGGCAAACCTTCTCCTTGTTGGACAGTGTCGGGTGCACGAACTTGCGGTAGAGCACACTGGAGCCCTTGGTGTAAGGGGAGAGCAGCCATATCACAAAGGCGATCTTGAGCTCAAAGTAGAAGGGGAACCTGTTGGTGGGAGAGAGGCAAGTGGTAGAGCCTGGGATAGGGACTCAGGGGGTGAGCTGATCCCCTGCAAGACCTTGGTTAGACCCCACCCCTTAGTGCACTGGGATCCCCACGTGGCTCAGGTGACTGGGCATTTCTCATCTCCAGGAGAATGGGAGGCTCAGCTGAGACTCCAAGTGGGTTGGTGAGAAGTGCCCCCGTCAAGAATTAACCACCCCGCCCCAACCCCCGGCAGTGGCTCTCTGCACACTTTACTCTTAGAGTTCCAGGCATCTTACTCTGACAGAAGATTCCTACTCCTCTGTTCTGGGTCTGCTCCCGGGTCTTCACGCCCTTGTCTTCCTGACCTCCCCCCTAAAGAGGAAGACTCCCATCCTTTGCTGTCATGACATGCCTCTTGCTTTTAAGGATTGTTGTCCATTCCCTGGCTCCTTTTCCTGAGGCCACAGACTCCTTCACATCTCCTACATCCTCACAAAGCTTTTTGCTTTGTTTGTGTCGAGAAGCATATACGCTCACTGTCCTCAATTTCGAACCCATTATTCTTTCCTAATCTGACCCCACTCAACTTCTGCTAAAACTGTTTTTCTCAAAGGCCACTGGTCCTTACAATCTACAAAGGCAGTTATCTTTTTTCCTCTACCTCTCCATAAAACTCTCTTCTCTTTGTCTTACAATATTCTGTGCTGTTAGTCCTCTCTTCCAAGAGGTATGTGCTCACCCAATAAACATTTTTTCAGCTCCTGCTGTGAATATACATATAGGCAATTAAGACATTCTCTGTCCTCCAAGTGCTCTCGTAACATAGTCTAGTAGTGCTTTGAAATACCAGCATTGGAACTTTACAAGACTGAATCCTATTTTACAAGCAGGGAAACTGAGACCTACAAAACTATAACCTGTATTCTACGGGGGGTGCTTTGGCTGCCACCAGAAAGGGGGGGGGCTCTGTCTCTTATTCTACTGATCAAACCAGGCCTATGTCAGGGAGGGTGGATATTCAGGACCCCATGGGACTGTGGGGGGGCTCCACCCCGGCTCTCAATCTTCAGTTGGCTGGTGGGGTAGTCTAAACCCTGACCTTGGGGTGCGGGGTGGGGATGCTGGACCTCACCAGGAAAGCACAATATCCGTGAGCGTCTCAGCCGTGGTGAAGAAGGCAAAGACGATCCAGTACATCATCCATTTCACCTGAAGGCACAGAGGGTAGTGTCAGTTGGGGTCTCAGGGGAACACCCAGGAGCCCCTGTCTGATGCCAACTATGCTGGAGGTGTGGTGAAGGGACACTCAGGATCTCAACTTTGCCTGTGGAACCCACCAGGCCTGGGGGAAAGGAACACAAAGGAACCTTCTGGAAGCAGGGTCTCCTTAGTGCTGAGGCATTGGTACAAAGTCACCCCGTCTGTAATGTGACCCATGATCCTCCCCTATCTCTGCCATGTGGGTTGAATGGGAGATGAAGTGCCACAAACTCACATATTCCTTCACGTTTTTTGTCTTCACGGCCTTGTAGGAAGAATAGGCTGGGTACAAGGTGCCAAAGATGAGCCTAGGGAGGCAGGCAGGGTTACTGGTCCCCTCGGCCAAGAGCAGTGGCCTCTCCCTCCCAGCTCTGCATCAGTCAGTCCCTGGGTAGGTAAGGGGAGAAGGACAGAACTCCAGAGTGCCACATTGGCTGGACTGATGAATTCAGATCAGTGGCTATGGTCAAAGTAGCTCAGCCTTGGGTAATACACAAGTGTAGAGGCCTCCGGATGGTTAGGGTGATGCCTTTTCCCCTTTATTGTTCAGGTTTTCTCCAACCCCTTAAGTGAAGAAAGACCCAGAGGCCAGAGGGTCCAATGTGGTCTCTTTAGCCATGATTGCTGGTTATGCATAAACATATCATGGAGAGTGTGTGTGGGGGGGGTCCGGTCACCACCACAGGTGTCTTCCTTCTCCAGATATGGTGCTCACTCATACCTATCTGCCCTTAACCTCTACTTCCCTGTCTCAGAGCCAGGCTGGGAAGAGCCAGGTCTGTAAGGGAATGTGATACCGCCTAACAGGGCCCTCTATATGGCAGTCAGAGGCACCGCTGTGGCCCTGGGGAGCAGAGGGCACAGGGGCAGGAGGACCTAGAGGGGCAAAAAGGTTTATTACCTCATGTAAGCAGCCTTGGAACCAAGCTCAAGGCAGTGGGAGGGCTGGGCTGGAGACTCTGGCTGGAGTACAACCTGGTAGTGACCCCATTGGAGACCACATAAAGGGCACAGGTGAGGGAATAAGAGGAATGATGCCCCAGGGAGCTCATCCAGGTAAGAGAGAAGCAGCCACTCTGAAGGCCACAGAGAGGCACAAGGCCCCAGGATTCCCTCTGGGGTGGGATGGGGGAGGAAGAAGGGAGATCCTGGTAGGTCTAGAGGGAGCCAGAACACAAGCATCTAACAGAACTGAGAGGGAAGAAGGCAAGAGGGAGGGAACCCTGGGTTGTCCGTCCCCCACAGTGGAGGCTGAGGGACAGGGTCCTGAGCCGGGACAGGAGTTAGCTGAGGCCCAGGCAGAGCCCCTCCCGGGCCCAGCTCCTTGACAATGTGTGGGTAATGCTTGTTCTCACAGGAACCTGCCTCATAGAACAGGACATTTCCGAAATGACCTGTGGAGATGGGGTGGGGGCGGACTCCACAAGGACAAAGTGTGGGGTGTGGGAGCAGCCTTCCCTCCTGGGGCCCAGGGGAGGAGGCAGGGACGTAGCTCCACACTGTGGCTGGCCTGGAATTAAGGCCACCTAACGTAGTTCCCTCTGTGCCTTTCACAAATCCAGGCTGAACACACATATCCTCTCCCGGTTCCCTCCCACACTTTGTCCTCCGGGGATCTCTGCTTCCCAATACCCAGACGTCCTTCCTGGGGGGCTTCTAGCGCAAGTGCTCTCATCTACAGTGTCCTGATAGTGGAAGAGGATAGAGGCCAAGGCTGCTAGCTATGGCCCCAAGCTATGGAATGAAGAGGCCCTGCTTTGCCCTCCACTCTGCCATTAGCTCTCTCCCCTCAGGGAGATGAGGGCCCAGGTCTGAGTTGCCCCTCCAGCGGACATCTGCTAGGTGGGGGAGGGGACATGCCACCTCCCCTCATAAATCAGGCCATGCTGCCCAGCCCTAGGATGAGGGCAAAGGAGCAAGAAAATTAAAAATAAAAGGGATGAGAAGCCGGGCGTGCTATGGCTCCTCTAATATGCCCCGCACCGGTCCTAGGTCCTACACCCCATGTCTTGTCTCCGGGGACCCCAAATAGGGACGATGTGCCTTAGGTGACTGTTGTATGAAGCCACGGAGTGGTCCATCCAGGGCTTCAACACACCCCTCATCCCCCAACCTTATTCCCCCTCCCCCTCCCAGCCGGCCGCGCCCCGCCGCACTCACACCACCAGGCGGGAGATGATCCAGGACACCATGGCGGAGCCGGGCGGGGCGAGGGCCGGGGGAACCCGCCCGGGCCGAGGATGCAGGTGCCGGAGGTCGGGCGGCGGCGGCGGCGGCGGCGACAGCAGGAGCCGCAGTAGCAGCAGCAGCCGCAGCAGCAGCAGCAGCAGCAGCAGCAGCAGCCGCCGCGGGGGCCGCCGAGCGCCGAGCAGCCGCGGTTAAAGGGGAGGTCCCTGCCGCAGCGGCGGGCCGTGGGCGGTGGCGGCTCTTAAAGGGGAGGCCCCGGCGGCGGTGGCGGCGGCGGCGCGCCCCCCCTGCACCTGCTACCACCGGGCATGCGCCTTTGACCCTCAGCACCCTGCCTTCCTCTAAACGCTTGTTGCTCTTTCTTGGATTCCAAGCCCTGGTTTGAGGTCCTCACAGGCCTTCAGGTTCCATCCTGACATCCTAATCCCCAGATCCTAGCCCTCCTGCCTTGACCACACCAGGCTGAAAAGGCTTAAACATCCCCTGAGGAATGACTTATTGAGTGCTTACTAACGGCCAGGCCGTGAGGTAAGAGCTTTACCCGCATTATTTCACGGAATCCTATCATTCCACATGACAGAGGTTAGAATTATCCTCATTTTGAAGATAAGGAAATGGGATGCTTAGGGAAGTTCAGTAATTTGCCAAGGTCACAATACCACTAAGTCATGCTGCTAAGATGTAACCCATAAAATCTACTTTAGTCAGGCCACTTCTCCCAACTGCTGACCAGCAAACTGTCCTCCCCCATTACAGGTCCTGTGAAGACACCCGCCCAAGCAACTCCTGAAGTATGGCTGCACCTGTCCACCTTACCCCTTCTTGGCCATCACCAATCACCCCAGTTGGAGAAGGAACCCCCCATCTGCTTTTTTTAGGTTGTCATTTGCTCAGCTTTGCAGGGTAATGAGCCCATGCTCTCAAGGGGAATACCCCAGGACAGACCCTCTTTAAACAGAAGGGCTGGAGGCCTGATGTCTAGGTTGGAGATGGATCCAGGAGCTCCAGTTCCACCCCCATCAGCAAACGCTGGTAGCAGTGTATGCCCTAATTCTGAAGACATTTATATCCAGAATGTAGGCTAGCCCGCCTCCTGATTTTCACCAAAGCAACAAAGCTCCAACCTCTGCAACCCCCTTTTCTCCCCAAAGCTTTCCTTTCCTGTCCCATTTCAAAGCTTCTGCATTCTTTAAGTGGAGGTGTAAGTCTTCTGGTGATCACAGCCTCGACCCGTGCCCACCCAGGCTGAAAGGACATGCTCAGAGTTCTGTATTTCAGTTATGGTCCTATTCAAACTCAGTATCCTTGAACCACACAATGGTCTATTTCCACCCTGATAATTGTATTTCCAGGCTCAAACACTTTGGAAGATATTTTCCAACAGGGTCTGGAGAAGCAGCCTCTGATGACCCCTCTTGCTATTCTTTACAACTTCCTTTTCAAAAGGCCTTTTCTAATGGGAATGTAGTCTGTCCTCACTCCTCAAGCCATTTTAGTTACTGCTCGATTGAAAAAAAAAAAAAACAAAAAAAACCAAAACCCATTTGGGTCTTTTCCCAACAACTCTTTTCCCAACTTCCCTGTGGATCCAGGGCCACAAGTTTCCTATGTGGGCAGCCAGGCCTCCTGCTTTGAGGAACCCTGTTACTAATTGCCCAAAACCTTGCTCATGCCATCCCCCATCCCCCTCACTCCTGACTGCTGCAGGAAGATCAAGACCTCACCTTTCCCATTCCATTCACACAGCATAAACTGTGGAAAACCCATCTTTTCTCCCACCTTCTAACTCAAGTGACCTTTTCCCTTCACCCCCACCCACAAGCCCACAGACCACAATGACCTGGCACTTTCTGCTCTCAAAAAGGCTCAAATTCAGGAAGCAAAGGGTAATCGGAAGCAGCAATGTAATGAAGATATGAAAATGAACCATCCTCCATCTTCAACCCACATTCAACCTGCCTTCACTTTTTAGAATGGCTGACACAGGAAGAATTTAGTCCACTCCAAACAGATTTGTTAGATTTTTAATAAGAACATGGAAATCCCAATCAGCCCTTCAACAAAATTAAAATACAGAAAGTGAAATTAAAAGTATTCTACAGTAAATGACTTTTATTAAAAAAAAAAAAAAAAGTAACTGTGAACATATAAACAAGCCTGCAGGGCACTACAGTACAGCTGGAAAGAAGATAGATACATTTTCCAATGTATCTATGGGCCAATGAATTCCATAATTTTCAAATAAATTCTTAATAAAACTCCACGGAGTTGGAAAGTTTTGCTTAAAATATTTCTGGACAAAAAACCCAAAAACCAAAAGCCTCATGTAGGAAATCAAACTTTCCTTCGCATTTGGAAGTGTAAGAGGAGTCCCAAGGGAACGCTGGTAATAGGTGAAAATGGTTCCTGTGTCATGAGTGTGCATATTTGTAAAACACACCACAGCTCAGACACGACAAAGTTCTTTCTCAATTGGCTGTTCCCTCAAGATATGACTGAGATGGGAGGGGAAGAAAACTAAAAGAATTCTAAAAAGCCAATTCTTTTAAATTCTGCTTTGGCTGATTTTGTGCTATAATGGGCAGTTGATTTCTAAAAATCATATTTTTTCAAAGATTTTTATCGAAAGGAAGACTAAATGTAATGTGCCTTTCCTCATAATCCAGGAAAACAACTGTGGTATTTCAAAAATTCTAAAAATATCTACTTTCATGAAATAGTAACTATTTCACTACAAACCTATTTTTCACTAAATACACACATTTCCTAATCCTGGAGCCTCCTGGGAAAAGCAGTGGGTTCTCCCTGGGTCCTGTAAGACTCCAGTGTTCATGGGAGAGATTGTGGGGAATGGCTTCACCCCGTCTCCTGGGATGGGCTGTATCAGAGGTCACGTGCAAAGACACTGTCAGGCTTCCACCGGGCATGTTTAAGCAGTTAGCCCCTACTTGTACCAGTTATGGGATTCCCCCTACCTCCAAACACATTCCCACTTCACTAGGCACGAGAGAAAAAGGAAAAGAAAGGTGTGCCCACATTCCCAGTTTCCATGGATCTCAAGTCATGAGAATGTGCAGGAAAGCCCAGCAACGTTCAGGCAATTCAGAGTCCCAAAAGACCACAGGATGGGGATGCGGCACCCTTGGCTTGGAGTCTGAAACTGTGTGTGTGAACAGTGCGACTTTCCTGTGTCAACCTTCAGTGTTGAGGCAGCGTAGAAAAGAGTGGCTGGAGAGTTTGTTAATACTGACCACACTGGCTCCAAGTGAAGGGCCTCTGCTCCAGCAGAGAAGCCCCGCCGTTCCCTGTATGTGTTGTGAGTGAAAGACCTGCTTCACAGGGGAGTCTGGAGTTTCTCCGTGCCTATGACCTTGCCAATTTGGATTCATGAGCCTTGAGGGTGCCAACAGCATCTTTCACTGCGTGATAAATGATGTTCTTCACCTGGAGAGAGCAATCAGCAGTCAGTTCATGGTGGCCCCATATTATATTCTCAAACAAAAATGTATGTTGTGTGTTTTTGTTTTTGTTTTTTTAAAGTATTTTACTTATTTATTTGACAAAGAGAGAGAGAACGTGCACAGGCTCTCGAGAGCACAAGCTGGGGAAGCAGCAGGCAGAGGGAGAGGGAGAAGCAGAGTCCCTAGTGAGCAAGGAGCTCGATCTCAGGCCCCTGGGATCATGACCTAAGCTGAAGGCAGATGCTGAACTGACTGAGCCACGCTGGAGCCCCCAAAGCATATGTTTTACACAGCCTATAAAGACTAATTAGTGAGGAAATCTGTCAGCAAGCACCGCATACTTCCCAAATCAATTCCAAAGAGGATTCACAAATCACAGAGGCTAGAAGGTCTATAATCGAAAAAGAATGATGAATCCAACTGAAAGGCTATATAATCACTTTCATCTAAGTGCTTAGTTAAGTGCTGGGCACTACCGATAAGCTTTCTTTTTTTTTCTTTTTAAGATTTTATTTATTTGACAGAGAGAGATCACAAGTAGGCAGAGAGGCAGGCAGAGAAAGAGAGAGGGGAAAGCAGGCTCTGAGCTGAGCAGAGAGCCTGGTGTGGGACTCGATCCCAGGACCCTGAGATCATGACCTGAGCCAAAGGTAGAGGCTTAACCCACTGAGCCACCCAGGCACCCTACCAGTAAGCTTTTTACATGGACTTTCATTTCATCCTTTCCATATCTTATGAGGTCGATTCTACTATATCCCCATTTTTATCCACGAGAAACTGAGGAAACCAAGGTCTGGTGGTCAAGAACCTTGCCTAAGGTCCTAGAACTAACAGGAATGCACTAAAACAACAGCGGGCAGGTCAGATTATTGGAAATTTTTTCCCTTTGTGCTTGTACGTATTTTCTAATTGTCTAAGAGGAACACAATCTACACATCAAGCAGGAAGAACAGTCACTAAGTAACATGCTGAAAAGAGTTTTAAACTAAGATAGTGATGATTTCTGTGGAGGGAAAGTAAGGAGACAGGATGGGGAAGGGTACACGGAACCTTCAATAATGCAGTTGTTCTGTGTGTTAATATTGTTTGTATGTATAGGATGCTTTAATTCTTCACCTGAGTGATGGGCACACAGCCCCCTTTTGCTATTCTTTATTAAATTTTTGTACTAATTCAATAAATATTTACTGTGTACCTAGTATGTATCAGATATTGTGCTAGGGAAAAGCAATGAATAAAGCAGTAAAATCCCTACCTTCATGGAGCTTAAATAGCTTACATTCTAGTAGGGACAGAAACAAACAGATAAAATGCATAATGTTAGTGAAAACTACTACAGAAAAAAATTAAGCAGTGACAGAGGACTGGGAGTGCTGGAGGTGACACATCCCAAGTAGACCTGATGGCAGTGATGTCTGAAATACGTATGCATTTTATCTATAGGATAAGTGTTACCTACTCCATCCACGTGAACGGACTTTGTCTAACAACTTTTATGGCTGAAATGGTCTAAAATTTTAAAAAAGGAATAGCAAAAAAGATCAGATCAGGGTTGAAGGTGACTGAATCTACTGGCCGGTTGTGGAAAGACTCCACATCTGCCTGGGGAATCTTGCTT